GGATGGTTGACAACTTTCTCCAACCTAACGACATCAGGAACCTGAGGTCCTGTAATCTTGGACGGACACTAAGAGACAAAACATTTACCACAGACTCTGGAACTCTGTCCCGCTGAGCCTGAGATCTGTGAACTCTCTTTCAAGAAACAAACAAAGAAACAACGTTTGATTAACCTTTTTTAACGCTTTGGTATTTTGTTGTGAAGCACTTTGTGATTATCTTGAAAGGTGCTACATAAATGTAGCCACACAGTACACAATTACTGGGGTTCTGTCAGGATCCCGGGGCAGTCATGGACTGGTGATATTATATGTATTTTTGGTGTTGCTGCTGCTCTTCTCCATGCTTGTAGATGTGAGTGTGTGTGTATGGGTGCAGGTGTGTATGAACACTGGTTTACAGGCGCCTTCAGGCCTGGTGGGTGTGGCCCTGCTAGGGGACTGGCCACACCCAAAGCTACACACCTGCCGCTGATCAGGGCTACATAGGAGAGTCTTGGAGCTCCCGGGATCATTTCGTGAGACTTCCTGTCAGTTCTCCAGCTGGTCTGTTTGTGTGAGCCTACCTGTGTCGTTGAGGGTACTAACGGCTGCCTCTGTTTTTCCCAGGAGGATTGTTGGAACTAGAGGGCAGCAGACACACGAGCACAAACACTGGGAGAAGACACGGAGTGGAAGTCGGGAACACACGGGGATGTATTATTGTGTGTACAGTTTTCACTGTAAATAAAGAGCACTGTTTGCATCGCAGAGTACCGCGACTGGGTCCTCCTTTCCCCACATCCCCACGGTCTAACATGCCACACCGTGACAGGTTCTTAATGTGCAGTTTTTATTGTCAATGACGACAGCAGCCACATGGACTTGTACTGAATGCAGACAATGGCCGCCCTGCGCTGCACATGCAGGTCCTTTGCATCAACCATTTCAGAAATACATCATCTTGTTAAAATACTGACTTGTTACCACTGCATTACAATTATACCAATATGTTTCAACAACTTATGTGCATATTTAACAATTCCTTACCAACAATTTAACTTCTTCACAATGATCCTGTTCCACATCCACACATCAACGTAAACAGGAAGTCCCAAGATGCGTTTCTTGCTAGGTTTTAAGTGTGGTCAAAAAAGGCACTGAAAAATCATGAAGAGGGAGGGCTCACCAACATTTGGTCCATTTATACTGAATGGATACGTAAATATTATAAATCTTCCTTCTGGCTCTATTATACTGTTGCTAATGGTGACGTTTCTGTTGCTCAGTATGCTACACCTCTTTGTTTTGAACTGTAGCTGCTTGAGTACATGTGAGGGAAATGAGTGTGTGTTCAGATGGTTTGGACATTTGAATCATCTAAATAGAAGAAAGTAGTTAAACCTTTACTCAAAAAACATCTCTAGACCCAGCAGTCTTAGCTAATTATAGGCCAATCTCCAACCTTCCTTTATATCAAACATCCTTGAAAGAGTAGTTGTCAAACAGCTAACAGATCATCTGCAG